ACACATATATATATATATATATATATACATATCATACACACACATATATATATATATACATATATACAGACATATATATATATATATATATATATATACACATCATACAGAACACACACACATATATATATATACACATCATACAGACAGACACATATATATATATATATATATATACATCATACAGACACATATATATATATATATATATATATATATATATACATCATACACACACATATATATATATATATATATACATCATACAGACACACATATATATATATATATATATGTGTGTGTGTGTGTGTGCATGTATATCGCTACTTTACTTTGGCTGTAGAAATAGTTGCAATGTTCCTACTTGGTTTAGAGATCGGCATCAATACCAGGAAAATCGCTTCAATGTTTAATTTTCCAAGCAGTCAAACTATTCCCACTTAGGACAAAGTCTTCCTGTAACTAACTTAATATCTCACTTGCTGTTATGCTCACTTAAACTAGGCTTAATAAATGGCTATATGTGAGGGGAACTGATAAGAATGAATATTTATTGCATGTATAAATTTCACTCGTTCATATATATATATATATATATATATATAGTTGGAGTGAAGATCGAACTCACTCCAGTAGAATTAATTAATGAAATTAGCTTGTTAACCATTACTCCACGATGCGCACATAAAGATATGGACAAAGATAGTCTTTGTAAAACATGCAGTCTAATGGGATGTAAGGTGTAAAGAATGAGCTACGCCTATTCTTCAGGTGAAAACATCTGTAAATTCTTGTAAATTAGAATTTTAAATTATTGTTTTCATAGCGAGAAAACCGACTGTTGGTGGGGGGACATTTTCATGTAGGTTTTTGCAATCACAAAGTCAAGCCTTGTTTGTAACTAACTACTGAATGAAGAGATATGTTTACATAGTAATCGTCAATTTTATCGTAGCACTTAAATCATAAGTTTGCTTTGACTTTCGACCTGTGTGTGTGTGTGTGTGTGTGTGTGTCTAATGCTACCTACATTCCTACCTTAATCATCGATGTATTAATGATTCGTGATTTTTATGTGCAGATTATATTCAAATATAAATGTTTTGTGTTATTCATGTTTTCGTTTCTTTTGTTTAATTTAGTTAGTTTAAAAAAATGTAACCCTCTTCATCTATTAGCAATAACATCCAGAATCAAAGCTTTGAACGATGTTGGAATACAAATAGCTCAACCTGTAATTAACTGCCGGCAACATTATATTCAATTTTTTTTTTTTTTGGTTCAATCAGTGAAAATAAATGTTTCCGTTTAGATAGGTTCGTCCGGTTCTTTTTGGTCTTTTGAACAGGAGTAGAAGGTCTATCCCTTGTTTCCTGTTTAGCATTGAGTTTCCGGTTCTTTCTGAATTCTTCTGATTCTCTTTCACTCCCAGTAACCTATTGCGTCTTAGTGGCACTATCGCCTTGCTTGAGGTGAAATGATAAAAAAAGATGCACAATACAGACAGTTTCCGCACAAAGTGTTATTCCTTAATTTTTAGAATAAGGATGATGATTCTTCTTCGGTAAAGTTTATGAATGTTTAAGTCACAACTTTAAAGAGTGCTGGAATTTGGCTAAATAAACTACAACTTAGGGTACCTAAGTACTTAGGGTATCTCCACAAACACATACAACAACCCCAGAATTTTGGATGAATGGCAGTTCTTTTAAAATTCAGGCGTATTTTTTATAGCAAGGTAACGAAGCTTTATATAACTTAAACCTATACATCAGCCTATATTCACGGCGATTCGGCCGTTGTATGCTCCGGTCTTCTTCAGGTGAATTTGAATTTCAGAAACACCAACATAACGACCGACTATTCTGGGTTCGGTTCAAAATTCAAACAAATATAACCTGGAGAAGGCCGTAGCGTACAACAGCCGAAATGTTAATGTGATAATAAAAATGAGGACAACTGTTCGAACAATGTAAATAGTGTAAATCTTAGACCATTACAAAATTTAAATCCATCAATTCAGGGTACGGTAATTCCGGTGCTAGTCAAAGGAAATTATTTCTATAGAGAGCTTGATTCTTACTGTGTCCTTTCTTTTTGTCGCCTTTTACCGAATTTAGCTAAGATTGATAAATGCCCAGGACACCTAGTTATGAAGAGTTGATTGTTAAAGTCATCTTGTAAACTATCACGACTGTAGAGAGTTGGTCTACAATAAAATAGAATGGTTTTTAATAAAATAAACATGCGAATTTTAAAATAAGTGATTTATTTGTTTTCCTCTATCTCTAAATTGCAAAAATATACCGTCGACACAAATACAGATTTAGTAAATTAATTTACTAACTTTATCAACAAAGCGCTCCAACGTAACTGACACAAATCGGCACGAATTAATATTGGCGTTTATGATGGTTTATGCGAGTTTTACTGATACTATGCAATTTAATACGACCTGCCGCGTAGTCGGTCATCGTCTATATATATATATATATATATATATATATATATATATATATATATATATAAACAGTTCACCCAGCAGGTTTTTTTTCTCGTGAGAAGTGTGGCTAGACCCCCAGAAAGATTAAATAGGGTAAACTGGGCTCCATAGCTATGTTTACAGCCAGTGAGGCATATCTGGGCATTGGTAAAGAGAGAGAGAAATTTACAAAGCGTAACTTAGATGTGACACAACACTGAAAGCATTGAGAATCGAACTCAGTAGTACCTGATCTAGCAAAGCAAAATTGATAACCATTACACTACGTCGAGATTTACATTATATATATATATATATATATATATATATATATATATAAATGGACATTGAAGTGAAAACCCAGAAAACAGTCTGTTTCATGCTTATACACAATCGTCAGGCCACTTTATTTTTACATACGCTCTATCCCTGATATTGAGCACTTTGCACCATAAATATAGCGGACTCTAAAACTATATTTTATTTGTATGTACATATGTGAGATAGGAGAAAACAGATACGCCATTTATTGTGTAATTGTTCGTGAGAACGCATGGAACATTGCAGATCATTACTATTGAATAATCAATTCACCCCTTTGTCCCTTATTCTAAAAGTAAGCACGACTTTGTAAATACTACACACACACACACACACATATATATAGCTTAATCAGTAAATCCGTCACCTAATGAAAAATATTTAAGCGCATTGTGCGATGTGTGTGTTGTGTATTCTACGCATATATTTTATATGTTAGTGTAAAGTGGGGCGCACAATTACCTACGTATAGACAAGATATTTTATAAACATAGGATGGGTATTTTGCGTTGATCAAAAGAAGCAATTTGTTGCTTACATTTCGGGGAAGAAGCAATACAAGAGCAAATTTGATTCTACTTTGCTTTATTTACTGTGAATAGGGAAATATTTCGAATAATTTCATTCGAATATTTCATCTCTTAATAATCTTTTGAAATCGATTTCATCCACTTTTCGGCTTCAGTTTCAGATTTTGTTTATCTATATTTTATCAATATATTCTTAATATTTTATTCCGTTTTGAAATGCTTTTGAGAATTTTGTATTTATTTATTTTGTGGTAACATTTAGGAGAATTATCCGTAGAAAACCAGAGACTTTTAAAGAATTTTCGCTAGAAAACTAGAGACTTTTAAAGAATTTTCTTTGGAATAAAAGAAAGCGAGTGGAAGATGAAGAATTGATTGGGATCTGGAAAAGGAAGATGACAAGACTGAGAACGAGGAAATGAAGATGGGGGTGTGGAGATTGATGAGGGTAAGATTTGAAACGATTCTGAAAAGCGGTCAAAGTGGTGTGCAGTAAGATATACAGTGTATTCTCAACTGTTTTCGCATCTATTCAGAAACGTTTTTTCTAACTATATTAAGTATATATTTTGTACAAACCAGATTGCAATAGGCAACGTCCTTTCTATTATTAATGACATTGTTATTATTCAATTTTTATTTTCTTTGCTTCTTGCGATAGCTAACGATACCTTCCTCTTTTCATTATCATCATCACAACTACGATTATTAATATTGCTGTTGTTATTGTTTTAATATTGGTTCTCTCATTCCAGCTTGATTTCTCAATATCAGTATTCATGGACCCGTGATGTAACAGAGTTGATTATTTCCCATAGTTTGGAATATCGACGCTATGCATTCTTCTTATACATTGGGCCTTGTATAAAATCAAACTTAAGCTAAGTGTCAGTGTTGATATTTATTATTTCATGTAATTGTTCCTGTTTGTACTTATCGCTTTGTTTTTCCTGTCTTCTTTTAATCTGCCGTTCTCTTATTAATATTCAAGTATTGTCTTATTATTATTATCATATTTATAATTATTATTATCTTATAATAATAATAATAATTATTATTATTATTTTATTCGATTATTATTTTACTTATTATTCTATTTATGATTATTATTATTATTTTACCTATCATTATTATTATTATTATTTTACTTATTATTATTATTATTATTATTCAATTATTATCTTAGTATTTATAGTTATTATTATTCAATTATTCATAATTATTACTATTAGTCGAAGTAATATTAGTAGATGTAGTCGTAGTATTAGTATTACAAAAGGTGTGTTATATTTATTGTGTTCACAACGCTGACAATAATGGAAGCGCCGCTGGCTAATTAATAGTAAAAACAAAAATAAAAAAAAATGCACAAACATTGATGACCATTGATAATACCTTCTCAATTCGAGGTAAATAAAGATTAAAAGGTAACGTTATGAGTAGAGACACGTCGTGGCAATAATAGTAAAATCAATAAACCTTTTCACTATGAACCGATATCCCCACCACTACGAGCCAATTCAGATCGGTAAAGTTGAAAAAGGAAGACGACACATATCTGCCTAGGTACCTTACTAAAATGAAAATCATGCGACTACGAACACACACACACTACCAGTATCTCACCCCCTCTAAATTAATCACAATCTCTATTTTGTTTTCTCTAG